TTTTTGGCTATTCTTACTTATATATCACATTTGGTCTTCGCCACTTCCCCTGCGGTTGTTGCCAACTTTTGTGCTTGGGTTTGGCGTTTCAGTTATTCTCCTGCCGCAAATATAATGGCAACGGTAGCAGCAGCAACAACAAAAACTACAACAACAGCAAAAGCACAGCGGCAATTCGTTACGCCTCGCATATCTCGTCACATATACACATACAATAGATACACTCGGATATATACATATACACACACACACAGACAAACACCCTCCATTTCCGTTTTAGGTTTTTTCCGCCCCCAAAAACCAAGTTTCTGACCCACAGTTCCCTTTCCCTTCTCTACAGATATATACAAGATATATATATATGTATTTGAGCTTGGGGAAAATGAAACTATTTTCGTATTTGTAAGATCTCAGCATTGGATAAAAATTTGCTGAGCTTCGACAGCGTGAAAGCTTTGCCCAAAAAGTAGACTACACTTATTTTTGTGCAAAGGGTTTTTGTGCTGGTATGTGTGCCGCCGATAAGTTCAATTTCTGTCTGTCCTAACAGCGATTATTTGCCACTATTATTGTTGTAATTGGTTTGAGATAGTGGAATGGTTTAGTAGATCTATCTCTAGACCATTAGATTTTACCTTTTCTAAGGGTTTTAAAGGATGGGAAAAGTTGTTAAGGGATTATTTTAATATATTCTTTAATGTGTAGAGAGCGAGCTTCGGTTTTAAATTTCTAAACAGTTGAACGAAAAACATCCCAGCCAGAGCGCGTGCCAAAAAAATTAGCATAAGTCTCAATTGATATGGGGGTTACCCTAACCAATTTCAAACTTTTCTCAGCCAATATCTATCTTAAACGGAGTTTTATTCAAATTTATTTAACTAAATTGCTCAACAATGGAGACCTGTCGAAAGCAATTTTGAGTCTGATTTGGGTGTAAACTTTGGGTAGCTTTTTGTGATAAAAAATGGATGAGACCTTTTAACGACAAACCATTTAACGCATATGCCCCGAAACCAAACCAAACCATATACAAAATAAAGAAAAGACTGCCCATAAATGGCATAATTAACGCATATTAAATGTCACCATTAAAATGGACTGCCAGTCGACAGTGTCAGTCCGCCGTAAAAATCGAGCAGGAAATTACGTATGCATAGCGCGGGGCTCAGAGCGTGGAGAGCCCAGAGCCCGGCGGCAGTGAGTGAATCATTAAAACATTGAAGTCAGCCGGGAAATCGAATACACCCAAAAAGCTCTGTAAACGGCTTTGGTTTTATGTGCAATTATAAATGTGTTTCCGTTTCGAGCGAATGAAAAAAAATCACACACACTCTTGCTCTATAATTTATAAACTGTATATATGACCGATGCCAGCGAATTATTTTATATGCAAATCTGTTTTTTTTTTCTGCCCAGGCTGTTGAGCTTGGGGATCGAATTTTAACCCCAAGGTGAACAAGAGGTGGTCCCCAGCCAAGAATAAAAAAAATATTATATGAAAAAATGCAATTAAAATGCAGTTTATGGAGGGCGAAACTCGTGCCAGTCACAATTCGTCATATCGACGAATGTTAAAGGTTTCCCTCATACTTTTTTCTTACTTGGCTGGAGTGTCAGATTTATGAGTTAAGCTCTTCGCCATGCCATGCCATGCCATGCCGCACAAAAATTGAAAGCGAAAAATTGTAATAGACCGACATTTGCAACGGCTTTTATATGGCCCGACAGAGTTGTCAAATGGTGCGACTGGCTAAAACGAAAGTGAGTGAGATGCTGATACCCAAGCGAGTGTATGTGGTTGGCAAAAATAAATCCACCAAATCCTATTTGTGTCATAAAAAAATGTCGGCAAAACAAAACTGTATAACTTTTTGTTTAAACTGCATGCCAAGAGGCTTAAATAGATTGTGGTTACAGGAATTGTTAATTGGGGGAAGTATTTGTGGAAGAAACTGTTGCTTTCGGATTCATATTTTATAGTTTATGAAATTAGGAAAAAGATACTTGTTCTACTTGCGATTTTACTACAAAGATATCTTAATGCAACTTCTAATTTAACAAATGGTACATAATAAATCCTTCAATGTAATTAGTTATCAGTCGGAAAAACTAATTTATCACTGCAATAAACGCATTTAATTCACCTGCCACAGTGAAATGTTAAAATCCCAGGAAATTAACCACGACAACTTAGGGGGAACTTCCAACGTTACTTACCAGCTACTTGCATATGCATATTTGATGCACAAACCGACAAAAACGTTTAGCTAACGCTTTAGAAAGCACATTTTAACCCAGAGCCCCCGGTTCGCAGCCCTTTCTTTAACGCTTAAATCGATTAAAAGGATTGCGTGTACATTTTTAATGCCAATTTGCAAGGGGATCGCAGGGCCAAGTTGAGTGCTTCAGGATATGCAAATGTTGGGAAGAAAAGTGTGGGTAAATGTAGTAATAGGTACTATAGGTATGTATATAAAATAAAGAAAAAAGTACTTCTTATATTTAAAAGTGCTAAGTTTAAACTTAATAAAGATAATGGGAAAACATTTTAGTTTACATTTATTTATGATATAAAAGAGCCGCAATTTCAAGGTTACTTTAATACTTTCTTTTAAATATTTTTAACTTTTTATCATCAAAAATTAATCAATTCACTTTCTTCTCTTCTTTCAGGTAAGCGACAACACTTGGCATCTATAAAAATAGCTAAAACCAAACAAAAACATCGTGACAAAGGGATAGCCCTAGATACCATTGTAGTGTCTGTGTATGCGTGTAAGCCTTAACCCCATGTAGAACCACTAATAGCCTAATTATGTACTCCCCATATATATAGATTTATATATATAACTATATACTATAGATATATTTTGCATATATTTCTCTTAGCTTAACCCACCTCATAATCGATTCACTACATTTTTGTGTTCGTACTTTGTAGTCTTTAACAACCATTTTAACCCTAAGCCCGCCCATCCAACCATGCCCACCAAAAATTCGAAATTAACATATCAGTGAAAATCCAAATTGAAAAACAGCATTTTGTGGCTGCAAGTTTTTTTTATCAACTGGAAAATCTATTCCATTTGCATACAATTTATAGCAGGAAATTAAAAATGTTTTCCTTGTCGCCTGCCGTTGTTTTGACAATTTGCCAAAGATTCTTTCCGCCCGATTGTCATCCGGCTGTCTGTTTTGTATATTCTATCCCCGTTTTGGGGGCAAGTGTAGATAGACTTTTAGCTGCCAGTGTTTATATCTACTTCTATTCTGGCTGCCTATCAAATATACATTTTACTTTTTTCTTTCTCTGAATTTTATTTAATTAGAATAGCCAGGAGAAAGTATCTAGCTTAATTAGAAGCGGTTGCATTTCTCTCTATATTTTCCCATATATTTGATACCATAGTATGTGGAAAGCCTCTGCTCTTAATTACAAATGAGTACGTCCCTCGGGCCATTCCGCCTGATGCGTTCCACTCATTAGCCTTTTCAGTCGAGCCTCCACGCCTCGTCGACTTGTTGACATTTTGGTGTCACATCTAGCAGGAGCAGAACTTGCATTTTGGCTTAGATTCGTGGCCAGAAAACTGAAATGTCAGCACACATACACAAAATGAAAGGTGAAGAAGGAAAATCCGGCGGAAAATGAAAGGGTTTGGTTGTATTAGAAAGCTTAAGGATTGTTTGCTTTCAATTTAATGTGTGAGTTAGGGTAAATTTTAGATTTCTTCACCTTTTTCTTATCATTTAAAAACATACTTTTTTCCTTTGGTTTTCCCTTCTTAACCTACCAATTACCCAAATCAAATTGTTTTAAAAACTAAATCAACGCCCGCGGCTTTTACAAAGATTCCATATTTATGGCAATTATAAAATTTGAACAAAATAAATTTCACACCCACCCGCCCAAAGTAAACATCTAAAGCAGCGAACTTTCAAATAAATAATAAACAATTCATATGTTTACATACGATATTTAGTTGGTTTATTTTATGTTGTTTGCCTTCCGGTAGCATCGTTGTAGTGCCGTGTAATTTATGTCGTGTGTCTTGTGTGTTTTTTATATGTAATATTTTCACAGTGACAGCATAAATAAATAAAGAACGTTAATAATTGAAAATAATCTGAAAGTAAAGTTGGCAATTTTACACAATATCCGAGTTGAGTTGGCTGGCCTCATCGGTATTCGTTAGAACAAACCTCCTCCATTCCCCTTTCTCAAACTCTGTGTTATCCTTGTTGTTAGTGTGGCTTACATTGGTTTATTAATTTCATTCGCATTTAATTATATGTATTTTTTGCATTTATGCATTTTAACATGGTACCCCGATGTTGTGTAAATAACTTACCCGATTAAATGGTTTTGGTATGTGTAATATGTGATAGTGTAATAATTTTCCTAGCCGCATAAAGTGAAATAATTTTGCATTTGCAACATCAAATTGGTACATTACCTCTAGCTTAACCTGTAGTTGTTATTGGAGATATCTTTTCTATATATTTTTCTCAACCTGTCAAAGTGGACATTATGCAATCAGTTAAGCTTTTTAAACAACAAATCAAATGAAATCAAATTCAATGATGTGTCCACTTGACAGGTCATAGAGATGTTTGCGAACAACCCATGTAAATAATTTTCTGCGTGCTTCTCTGACTGGCATTTAAAATACTTTGTAAATATTTTACAAACACCAGAACCACATCCCACTTGAGTAAACCACCAAAATAACGATCCATCGGCCATAAAAACAATAAAACAAAAGTAAAAACAAATGTTGTCAACTCGTTTATATTCCTAAAATATATACATACATACCTAGTTTTGATGCAACCATTTTTGTAGTAACTGAAAAGCAAAAAACAAACCCTAAAACCATAACCAAAAAACAAAAATGGAAAATGTGAGAGAGCAGAGTTTAAGCGAGATCGATTTGAAAAATTTGTTTACCAGTGGCGAATTTTCTTCTTTTCTTTTCCGGTTTTCTTTTACATTGCAGGTTTCAGACACCCATTAAAGCGTTTGCCTGCCTGACAGCAGCCACAAGGTAAGCTTTAACCAGCTGATCAATCCCAACCATAATCAGCCTAAAACCAAATATTATAACAAGAATTTAAAATATAAAAAAAAACATTATACCCACAGAGCTTATTTCAATTCTGTTTGTTGTTGAATTCCATGTGTGATTGTGATTAAAATACAAAAAAAAAAACAAAAACAAAAACAAACCACAACTATTTAATTGGTTAAATATAAAAACAAAATGTATAATTAGCAAATGTTATAGTTGGTATTTAATATGATTATCTTTTTAATTGGCTTACAATGTATACATTGCATATGGCTATAATTTAATAAATTCCCATTTACCTCTCTAACCGGCTCGTAGTACTTTTCTTTGGTTTAGTGTTGTAATTTAGTAAAAAGTAAAATGTCCATTCAGTGCTAGAAATGTGTATTTATGATTTTGTATTCTCTAGATTTTCTATTTTACTTAGTTTTATATTATACAAAAAATAAATAAATATTATTAAAGCTTACATAAATTATACAGAAAAGCATCTTTCGATTGCTACAATCTCTGGGCGTAAGGACATCTCCATTACGCCCTCTTTACCCCATGTTGGCCATCGAATGCAACAATTAGAAACATATTATGGAAACATATTTATGGTCAAAACAATGGCCTGTGGTGTTTTTCGGTTGGGGTGATGCAGGAAGGGATGATAGTTCGAAGACTAAGGATAATCCTGTTGCATTTGGCACAGAGTAACCCTGAATGGGCCTGCTGTGCTCTGCTCTGGGCTGCAATTATATTGTTTTCTTGTCCATGTTTGTTATAATTTTATTGCTAACACATACATATGTACGTATATATGTATCTGGATAGATTTGCTACACAATTTGCTGAACATTAAATGGGGAGAAGCGGAACCTTTAATGTCTCTAATGTGCCAGCAATTGAGGGTACGTGGTCTATGGTCTGTGTATGTATATGTGATATGGTATTACACGGAGAATATTGAGGGAAAAACTTATAGGAATAATAATATATATACCTCTGTTATAACTTATACCATGAGATTGATTTTAAACCAACTTTGTTGGTTAATAAAAGAGAAATATTCTTACACTAAAACATTACAAATTCCTTAGCAAAACACTTTCTCAGTTTTCTTGCCAGTGCACTGCAGTGTACAAGCATTACAAATTTCCTAATCAAAACCCTTTCACAGAAATCAAATCTCAGCAAGAGTGTGTGATTAGCCATTTGTAAAATACATTTCATTGTTGAAAACCAACTTACACATATGCAAGTCTTTCACAATCATAAATGAACATTTCAATTCCAAGGATGAAACTCCTTGAATCCCCAGGGCTGCAAATTATCGTAATCGTTTTCTCGCCCCCTGGGCTCAACTCAAAGCGATTATTATATAATCGCATTCGTAATCGACGATAATGACAACACTTTAGCGCCATATAACACATCATAAAAAAGCAGAAAGAAAAAATAGAGTGGACTAGGAACTGAAACAATTACTATGGCCAGAAAAAAAGAAACAGCCATGTTTCGAAAGTCAGGCCAACAAATTGGTCACACACACTCATATATGAACGTGGCATGAATGGCTGCCAACATCGGCAACATGCAATATTTTATCTGCTAATGTGTAATTATAAACAATTTTCTTGTTTGTTATTTATAATGGCGGAGCCGTGGCAAAGCGGGAAAAATGGCCAGCGGGTGGAAAACTAAGCCTTCTCCGCTCGTATTTGTTGTTGTTGCTGCTGCTTTTGTACAATTGTGAAAGCATTATTTTTTCCAGCCATTGTGCGGGTGCAATTTTAACAAACGGCCGGGCGATAACAATCGCCGGAAAATTGTCCCAAGGAGGGGCTGGTACCAGAGCAAGGGGGCGTGGCTCAAAAGGATTTTCAAATATGTTAGAGGAATGCGTGAGTCCAGCACATTTGCCACATTCCAAAAACTGACAAACGATACCCGATGTGCGATATACGATATGCGAAACAAGCCAGAAAATCGTGGAGAAAGGTGCTAAAAATTTCATGACATAAAAAAGTTGTTCAACAACAACAGAAACAACAACTTAAATAGAATGGCGTGAAACACGCAACAGCAACAACAACAAAGAAAACTGCGGGAAATTAATTGCAGTGAAATTTATGTTTAGAAATTAAAACTGGCAGCGGGCATTCGTGTTCTTTTTTGACTGGGAATGCAACCGCAACGCGGAAAAGTATGCTACATAAACTATGGATTTAATTAAATGGAAATTGAACACGATTTTAAAGCAGACTCATGTGTTTAATCAGGTGAAATGAAGACTTACAAGAAATTTCTGGTACTGAAGCCATTTCATACACTATCTTGGAGCTTTTATTATTAAAAAAGATTAAGAACTTTGGTTAATTTTTATAAGATTTCTTATCTAAAACTAATACTTCTTTCTGATTTTGAAATAAATAAAAATGAAATTCCAAATTAAAGTAGTTCCATGGCAGTAGTCACATGACTACAGTAAAACACCTTCATAATGTTGACCAAACTTGCTGTTATTTACACCACAATTCCAACGTTTAATACCGCCTCTCGAATGGGAACACACTTTCGCCATCCAAGACCACAATCAATTAAAATTGCTCTGCGGCTGTCGCCATCGCTAGTCGGTTATTGTCGCACAACAGCAGCTGCTGCAGCTGCAAACGGCGATGTTGCAACACACATTGCCGCGATATTGGACAGAGAAGAGAAAACATTCGAAGGGATTCGTTCTACTGTTCCAATTATTGTCGCCCTTTCACCTGATTCGCTTCTCTGTACTTTTTTCCCCTTATTTTTTGCTCGATTTTAAGGACTATCTCTGTGTTGCTGTGGCACTTTTAATTTCCCAGTCGAACAAGCTGCTCCTTTTTGCCATCCTGCAAACAGGATGTGTATTGTTACGGTAGAGCGACGCATTCTAATTTTTTTTTTTTTTTTTTTGGTTTTTCAGATTCATTTTCCTTTTTTGCTGTTGTTTAGCAACTTCCGGCTGTTTCGAGGCTTTAATTACGTCAGGGACCAAGCGGAGTTTTTTCCATTCGAATTTTTTTCCCTTTAAAAATCCTCTTATTGCGTTTTCCGTTTGCACTTGACTACGTTTTGGGTCAAGTTGCGTTGGTTTTTGGCGAAATCGCTGAATTGACAATTACAATGACGGCGGCTGAATTTAACGCTCTGTTGACTTTATCAAACACAAGGAAAATTCCATGAAAATTCCAATTGAAAAACTCTTCTCTTAGCAAATAGAGAGCTAAGATTTGTCCATGTTGTTTACCCACACCTTGGCACTTCCCACTGTCAACCACTTAATTTCCTACTCTGCGTATACGCAATATTGGCTTAATTTCCTTCACTTCGATGGCAAACAGAATTTATTGTTTGCAGTGAATCGACGTCAGAATCAATAGCAACAGCTGTCTTCATTAGAATTACATTGGCATTTTCCATTTTTGATCCACTCGCCAATGGAATTTCCCAAATTCAAATCAACAATACGCACTGTTGTCCTTGATTCGTACGTGTGTGTGCGAGTGTTTGGATTCTCTGATGATTTATGCATTTGGAAACACCTTTTGAAAATGGGGCGGTGGGCGGCAGAGGGTTGGAGCTTATGTAAATTGCGATTGTAAATTCGTGCAAATCGCGTTTTCAATTTCAGCCCTTTGTTGCTTCTCACCGTTGAAAATACGAATATGCAAATGAAGCTCATAATTTGCTTCAGCCAAAGGCGGGAAATTACCAAAAATGAACTACGATGAGAAGAATGGAGGCGTATATGTGTGGGGGAGGAGGTTGATATCGATAGCAAAAACTTTTCCCCAAAGAGCAGTGAAACTTTCAGTGCAAAACTCTTTGGGCCACGGACCAAGTAGTAAAAGATAGGATGCTAGTCTTTCTACCAGTCAGAATGCTTTGTGCTCTATGATTTCTACTGCTGCTGGTCTAAGAACACTCAACGAAATTGATTTACTATACATATTTTTTTAACTAAGGATAATGAAATTTTTAGTGTTTAAAAGAGTTTTTTGTTAAATCAAACTGATATAGTCTTTTATTATTTTTCTTAATAATTTCTTTATCAAAAATATCATATTTCTGAGTTGTTAGCTTCTGTTTATTGCGGTCAAAATATATTAAGCTCCGTATAATAAATCATGAAAATATATTTTCGAAATGCGATAAACCATATTTCAAGTGTCTCGTATGAAGCTAAATAAAAACTTTGGCTCTGCACACATGACCCATTAATAAGCGCACGGCACTTGCTGGTTTCGTTTGGTCATTTCATTCGACTCTCACAGTTGGGCATCGTGGAAAATATAAGGGGGAAAGGGGTGCTGGGATGGTGCAGCGGTGACGTGGTGGCCCAGCACGTTGTCAACATAAATTTTCGGCCAGCAGCCCTGAACCTCTGGCAGTGGTGGCAAAGTTTGCACTTCCTAGCAATTTAAATGCGTTTATCTATTCGAAAGTACGCAAACAGACCCAAGTTGCTGAATAAATCTGTACGAGTGAGTAAGCAAATTTAATGATTTCAGCATTTAAAGCGTTTTTAAATCCATCGATAAATCAAGAAATAGCTTTTGCCAATGCAACGTTGGATGAATAATAAAACGGAGGTCAACGATTGAGACATAAAAACAAAATGTTCCCCATATGAACCTCAAGCAATTGCAAAGGTTATATCTTACAGATACGCAAAGCATATATATGTAGTATAGTATATCGACATGGCAAGTCAATGATAATGAGTCAAAAAGCGGAAGCTATGAATAAATTTTGCGCTGCACGAACAGACACGGGAAAAAAACACACACACACAAATCCATAGATATAGATACCGATACATATATGCATAGCTATAGATACATGTATGAGATACAGATACACGCATTCTCGCAAGTCAAGTGCTTAATATGCAAGCAGCGTTGCAAGTGGGTGGTGGAATGTGAGGCGAACGATAGGGGATGGGTCAGAGT